AGGAACCGAAAAGTGACGAAAAACCGATAGAAGAAGAGAAACCAAAAACTGAAGATAAACCAAAACCAAAGTTTAGTTTCCAAACTAAACCAAGTCAACCTTCATTAGCTGGTATGGGTTGGCGTCAAAGACTTATGGCAGCAGGCGGTTATGTAAAGTAAAGAAAAAATATTTTTTTATTTTTATAAAAATGCCCCATATAGAATGGATAGAAAGTCTGCTAGAATAAAAGCAGAGTTACAAAGATATGGTTGGAGAGTTTCGAAGAATTTTAAATATAGGAAGGGAAGACCCATAAAAGTCTATGACAAATTGTCTGGTCTTCGCTACGAAATGGATTTGGAAACAGCACGTGCCAATTATCCAAACAGACTAGAGAGGTTAGAAGAAGAACGTCTTATGGACATGCCTTTCGATGTTAGTGAACCTCAAGTTGAAGGACACGACGGCTTTGCCAGATTCTACTGGAAACATGACGAACAATTGCATCCTTTGAGAAGGAAAAAAGGAAAAGGTGAAGACGCACATGCTCCCATGGAAAGAACAAGATATGCATATGAAAAGTATCGTGAAGTTAGAAGTCAAATTACATCTGGTCGAACCTTTACAGTAAACTTTGACGAAGGAAAGAACAAAGAAGGCTTCATGGGAGTACTTGCTGCAATTCAAGACGGAAATAAGAAAGGACACAATCTCAGATTGACCATAACAGATTTGGATGGTCACATTTACTATGCACATGGCAATGAACAAACAGCCGCAAAACTTCTTGACGCTTTCAAGACTACAAAGAGAGAACAAATGGTTGACTCCGACTCAGACATTTTGAATGCAATTGAAGGAATTGCAAGTGTCAAGTTCGAATGGTACCAACCTAACCCTCAAGCAGTCAGACAACATGCTGGATACTTCCCCTTCATAAATAAGTCTGACATTGACTTGACAAGGTATGGAATTTACAATTCAATTGAAACAATTGTCAATGAACCTTGCATTCTTACATGTCTCAGGAACTCTGGTCTTGTTACAGATGAGAAGATGAAGTATCTTGAGTCATGTGTGAAGACAAGGTACATTCTCAGAGGTCAATTGGCAAAAATTGCACCGTTGGCAAATGTCAATATCCGAGTCAACATACCTACAGCTAAAGGTTCTTCACATGACGACTATGTTGTTGACAAAGACTTACCATGGTTGAAGATTGTAATTGTCCACAACCACTTCATGTTGAACGAAAGTCTTACAAACCCATTCTTTGGTAAAAGTAAGTGCAACATTGTCAGAGCTGTCAACATTCTTTTCAAGAAAGGTTTGTTGGAACCAATTCCAGATGACAAGCTGACAGAAACTTTTGTACCAAAAGACGAAACAAACTTTTCATTGTTAGCAAGACCAAAAGTTGTTCCAGACAAAGTTCTAGTACAAAAGAAGTACACGGTTCCACAAGGGGTTGGTATGTTCAGATACCAACCTGAACCAGAAGAACTTCCAATGAGGTTGCAAGAACTTCAAGATGCTATAAACAAACTTCCATTGAGACATCCAATTGACGTCAAATTATATTGGAGAGCATCTGAGTTAGGTCAGAAGGTTTTATATGAAACAGGTTGCTTCGACGATGTTTATGAGATAACAGGAGAAGTTTCTCAGAAGATAAGAGACTCACTTGAATTTCCACAAACTGGACCAATTGGTTGCAACAAGTTCGACTCAGATGAAAAGATATACTATGTCGACCTTAACGCTGCATACATGAGGTTTGTCCAATATATTCCGACTGGAATTCCAAACGAAGATGGTGAGTTCCCGGGAAGGAACTATACAGTTGGAAAAGTCATACAACAACTGTATGATATTAGGAAAGCTTCAAACCCCAAACTTGCAATGACACTCAAATTGCTTATGAATTCGACATGGGGATATTCCATTAAGAAACCTCAAGAGATGAAGAGTAAACATTATGAGAAGGTCGACAACTTTGTTGAAGGGTTTTCTCCTTTTGTTTTGAAGTACGAATTCACTCAAGGTCAAAGTGGCTTAGTAACCACATTAAAACCTATTGTCGAACATTGGTCTTACCCTCAGTTCGCAAAGGCAGTCCTTGACAACTACAATGAGTTCTTCTCCGAAGTCAAATCCAAAGTCAAGGTTTACTATGAGAACATTGACGCACTCATGACGAACGAAGAAGGCTATAACAAACTCATTGAAATGGGAATGGTCGGTGAAAAGATGGGTCAATTCAAATTGGACAAAATTTTCACCGAAGTTCATGTCCTCTCCAAGCGTAAGTACTGGGGTGTTAAAGAAGATGGTGAAATAGTTAAACATTGCATGAAATAAAAAATTTTTATTCGAATTTGAATTTAAATGTGGGAATTCTTGGGAACGGGAAAGGCTTATTTACTTGAGGAACAGGTAAAGGTGGTGGAGGTGGTGGCAACCAGTCCATTTTATATTCCTTCCTAGCTAATTTCCGTTTAATTTCATGGTCGCCCTCGGAGTCTTTGAATCGGACAGGTCGAGTTACACCATTCTTGGTCTCAAACTCATATATAACCTGTTTGTCTGTATTGTTGTAAGACGAGTTACGGAAAGTGAGGTGAACCGAAAAAGTGACACTTATTTGGTCGGATAAATTCCCTATATATTTACTTGTCAAAAAAAATCAGACTTTTTTTGCTTTAAAAAATTTATAAGTTAATTATTGAGAACGAAGGTGAAAGGAAATGGATATCTCTTACCTTTCATTCCCTCGAGAAAGTTCAAAAACTTGGGTGCAATCAGTTCTGATTGCACCCAAGTTTTTGAACTTTGTATAAGGAATTGTTGGCTATGATGCACTGATCATGAATCAGTACATCATAGCCAACAATTCCTTCGCAAACAGCGGGAAACTTTGTCCGAATAGTTTAACATTCGGACAAAGTTTCCCAACTTTCAAGCCGAAATTCGCGGATACCATTCACCAACTAGCTCTTGCTATGATGGTTATTAAAAATCAAGATCTATATTAAATTCAAAATCTACTCAAAGTCACTAATGTTCGATTTCGGAGTGTCAAATTACTGTACTACAGTTGCTGCTTCTTCTGCAACTTGCGTATCTCTGTAACGAAGAAAAAAAATATGTAAATGTTTTAAAAAGTAAGTGTTTATTCTTATTAATCTGACTGAGCTTAGTAAGAAGATGTAATCGATATTGTTAATTTGTGTTAAAAATTAGATTTTATTTTCGATTTTAAAATATTACCGAATTAATTTCTTTGATTGGCTCTCCTCTCGCGGAAATGTTGAAGAGAAATCCTCAAATCCTTAATTTCTCCATCAACTTTCCAAAGGGGTTCTTTGGTGGTATCATATTTTTCGCTGATATCATAAAATTTGTTTGGTGTAAACCAGGTATGTATTTCTGGATTTTTTGGTAACTGTGTATGTGGTGTTGCGTTATAATTTTCGATTAAATTTTGAATTTGATCCCAAGCTACCTCATCAACTTGAATATTCTGCCAAAATCTTTCGATTTTGCCATTCATGTAAGGGCAGTGTGGTATTATCGTGATTGATTCGACGTTTGCATTTTTTAATAAATTTTTGAAAACACCGTAGTTTTCAAGCCCATTGTCACTCCATATGGCAAACGGTTTGCCATATACATCGAAACATTGTTGAATGACACGACTTGTTTGTGCCGCTTCTTTAGTTTCGAGATGTGACCAAGCCAAAATTTTTCGTGATTTATCGTCAATAACGGCATATAGATATTCACCTTGGCGATGATTTAAAAAGTGAATATCTACATGCCATATTTCATTAACGTAAAAAGCTTCGTATTTTGTTTGACCTTTTGCCTTTGAATTTTTTGGCGGTTGTGCAAGATTGAGAAGTTTGAAACATTTATTAACAGTTCTTTCGGAAAATTGAATGTTCAATAATTTACGGTCAAAATAATCTGTAGTTTTTTCAAATGTTGAAGTTGTATTTGTGCGTATTGAATATGGGTCATCTTCTGAATTTATATCCGATTCTGTATCAATTGAATTTGGACTTGATGAAAATAATTCTTCGGCTGATGAATCGTCGGAATTTGAAGAGATTTCTGATGATAACTGTTCAGATGAACTTGAAATGTCAGGAGAACTGTAATCAAACTCTGAATTTTGATTCCGTTGAGACAATTGTGGAATTGGAAAATGAATTTGAATATTTTGTTGATTTTGCATTTGCGATTCAAGTATCATTTGACGATCTGTTATAATTCGGCCGAAAGCCCGGGAAATTCCTATTTTTTGAACTTTATTATGTAAATTTTGGACAGTATTTATTAATTCTTGTGGTGGATCTTTTGGTTTTGGACCTGTACGTAATTTTGGAATTTCAATTTGATTGAAATTAAGAGCGTTTTTAAAAGTTTTATGTGATATTGTGGGAAGAATTCTTCCATCTGTTAAAGGGACATTTTGGAGAACGGTTTCGACGTTAATACCGCTTTGAATTTGTTGATTAGCTTGATTTAACCATTCTAAATCAATTAAATCGAAGATTCTACCACTCATTTGAAAATTATAAGTTTTGAAAAAAACCGTAAATCATTATTGAATCTAAAAATATTTATGTACAAAAAGTCGGTATATATTCTATAATTATTTAAAATAATGAAAAAGTTGATTTGTGAATCATTGAAATATTAATGCTGTTATATATATATATCAGATGATATAAGATGATTTTTTTAAATAAAAAATAAAATTTAATTTTTTAATTGTTAAAATAAGAATAGTAAGCTTGACAAGTAATTTAAGTTTTTGCTTTGTAAAGTTATTTGGTTGGCAAATGCATTGTGTCACTTTTTGTTTGAGTTCACTTTCCGTAATTTGTCTTATGATAGTATTTTCGTCGACTATGGCACGAGACACGAACATTGACCAAACGGACAAAAAGTGTCATTTCGGATGGTCAAGCAGCCAATCGCATTCGAGCACTTCGAAGAAGCCTTACGTTCCAAGGGAGAGGGTGTCTGGTGCAAGGCAGAGGTCATGAGACTCTACGAGCAGTACATCCTCAATGCCTGGGAGGACAAATCGTCCTTGAATTGGCAATTCTACCAACTCCTCTGGGACGACCTCCTACGCAACTGGGAAGATAACGAAAGAGCCCAATTCAAAGGTCGGGAGCTAATTTTCCAAATTACCATTAATAGTGCCTACTTATCCAACTAAACACTTAAATTTACTTGGGGTTTCCCCCTAAAATATTTTTTACTCTTAGAACCACTCGAGGTTCTCCTTACGGTTGTTGAGCTTGTCACCGTCAATGTGTCTGACCTTCGTCTTCTTGCCTGGATTTGGAACCCATTGAATTGCGACAAGCTTGCCCATGGAGTGTTGTGCATGAAAAATAGCGTGACTTCACTTTTGACAAAAAGTGACACTATTTCTGATGGTTTTGTCATTTATTTGTCAGATTTATAAATGGATAATAATGCTGTAAATCAGATATTAATTAAAAATATTTAAGATTTATGTTCGAATTGAAAAGCAAAATGATATTTTTTTAATTGAAAAACGTTAATATCTGATATTTTGAAGTTTTTAATATTTGTTAGTATCTTAAATTATTGAATGCATACATTTTTTATGTTCTCAATTTTAAAAAATTGTGAAGAATTTAGTTTTTTGGAGATGGATGTTTAATATTTGTGAGTGAGAATGCAAGCAGGAGTTTGGTACTTTAAGGCTAGGTTGAGATAGATTTCCCATTATATTATCTGTGAATATTTTGCTTGAAAATTCAAGATATAAAAATATATTATCAAAAAATTTTATATTTTTAAATACAATAGGGTGGAAATATAGTACGATGAGATAGCAATGATATATTTTATAATGGGAGGTAATCTGAAGATAAGTAGCAAATTTTATGCGATTTTGATTGGGAGTTGGAGGGTGTGAGTACTATAGCATGTAATAGTATCTCACACCCTCCAATTCTTCCTATGGCGCCGAAAAATTTTTGGTGAAATGCGACGACATTTCACCAAAAAATTTTCGGCGCCATATAGAGAACTATAGTCTGCGAGGTACTGATTCTATCTATGTACCTCGCAGACCATAGTTCTCAGCCAAAATGTCAAAAATTTCGGAAATTCGAAATAATTTTTTTTGAGAAAAAATTAACCGTTTAACATAATATTTATAATATTGCTTATTCAATTAGACGGATTAAAAATTATATGTTTTCTTTTTATTTTTTCAATTCAATTATTAGCTGACTCGAATTTGTATAAGTTTTTTAAAATAGATATCAAACATTAAATATAAAAAAGAAAACAATTAAGAATATTAAAGTAAATTCTTTATTAAGAAACAATAAAATGAAAATATAAAACTTTGTATGATTTGAGTGGATATTGAGAGTAATTTGTGAGTGTGCTTCAGCTGCATATGTAAGATTGTTCGGATTTAATTAAAAATTGTAAATTTTTTGTCTTTATATCAAACTATTCGACAAAACTTTGTATGATTTGAGTGGATATTGAGAGTAATTTGTGAGTGTGCTTCAGCTGCATATGTAAGATTGTTCGGATTTAATTAAAAATTGTAAATTTTTTGTCTTTATATCAAACTATTCGACAAAACTTTGTATGATTTGAGTGGATATTGAGAGTAATTTGTGAGTGTGCTTCGGCTGCATCCGCTAATTCCTTCTTCATTCTTAACATTCTTTGTTTTATTTAGAACTATATTATCTTATTTCTAAAAATAATACTGAATTTTTTAAAAAATCCAAATGTAATAAATGTAAGTGTTTATTCCTTAACTTCCTTTTTGTGATTTTTTGAATTTTCTTGTTTTTGAAATTATTTGTTAATCTCTAAGATTTTTTTCGAAGCCTGGTTCAGCGCAGAGATCTTTTGTCCATTTGGGGCCTCTTTCCCAGGCCTCAAATGGAGTCAATTTCTCCCCAAAGAGTTTGAATAATGCGGAGTGTTTCCATACCCTATTATACTGGGAAACAACATTGGGGATGAACTCAAAGACGTTCACTCCAGGGTTTGTCTTGAAAAGAGTCTCCCAACTCCTTTCAATTTTTCCATTTTCCTCTGGAGAGTACGGATGAGTTTTGAAATGTTTTATATTGAATTCTTGGCAAACCGCTTCAAAATCTTTTCCAATGAATTCTGTTCCATTATCTGTGAGAATTCCATGTGGAACTAATTTGACTAAATCAATTGCGTGACGAAATACTCTGGCAGTATTTTTCATTTCTTTTGTATCGAAAACATCCCAGCAAATAATGTATCTGCTTCTGTCATCAAGAAATGAAATTAAATATTGAAGGTTACCGTTATCGTCCTTCAGAAATTTCAAATCAGTATGCCACAATTGATTAACATATTGAGCAACGTATTCATGTGGATGTTCGTCGATTTTCTGATGCCTGTGAAATGTAAACAAATGTTGTTGATTGAAAATTTTGAAAGCATCGTTGAATGTAAATCTTTCGACTTTTTCGAAATATGATTCTTTGATCCTTTTGTATCCAATGTCATATTGTGCTTTAATTTCCAAAATTTTGTATACATCTTCCTCAAAAATTTTTTTCTTTGGTCTTCCTCTTTCTTTTATTGGATAGCCGAGTAGTACGAAAATTTTTTTCAAACGTTCTTTTCCTATTGAAAGTGTTTTTGCCGTATCTTCGAGAGTTACATTTGGATTATTAATGTATTCTTGATATTTTTCTTCAATTACGTTGAGAACCTGATCGGCGGGAACGGTTGGGAGTTGAAAAGTTTTAAGATCTTCTGGGTTTTCGAGACGAACCAAGATGTCTTCCATTTTTTAATTTGTAAATTTTTCAATTTTTCAAAAGATAATTTAAAAATACTAGTTATTTGATAAAATTTGTTTATTTTAAATAAAACAATTTTTTTTGAAAAAATTATATTAATGATTTGAAGGCAAAAGCCAAAAACTTAATAGATAAAATGCTCTTTCTATATAGATCAACTTCTATTATTAAATTTATAAAAATGGAGAGATTTTGCAAATTATTTTCTAATATATTATATTTATAATCATTTTATTTATCCCATTAATAATTGTGAACCCAGAACATCTTCCCTTCAAAGTGCCAAGCATCAACACACATTCTCACTCACAAATTTTTAAAACTCATTGCCAAAAATTTAAAAAACTCACAATTTTTTTTAAATTGATAACCCTCAAACCGTTTCCAATCAATAATTTGAGAGTCTATATGATAATGTAAAAGTTAAAACATTCAAGTATTTAAGTATTTCTTTAAAATATTAAGTTTTTTATTTTTCCAATAAAATTCTAATATCAAATATTTTTATTTAACGATTAATTTTATTTATATTTTTATAGTTTTTTTAAGAAAAAATATTGTTAGGGTTTTATGGATTTTCAATTAATATACAAGATAATTCATGAATGTATATATTTCCAAGTTTTTAAGGATGCAACACTTTACATTTGTAAACTGTCAAAAATGAAGTCACGCTATTTTTCATGCATTACAGCTTTGGAGACAACAGATGGAAAAGTTTACTTCACTGACCAACAGTTCATTATAGAACATCTCATTGACTTAGAGTCGAAATATTCTAAACTTTACAACAAACACAAAAAGTTGAAAGGAAAACAAAAACAAATGGCATATGATATTTATGAAGATGTTGACGACACAACTGTTCCTGCAAGTGAAGTAAAGTCAGAGGAACCGAAAAGTGACGAAAAACCGATAGAAGAAGAGAAACCAAAAACTGAAGATAAACCAAAACCAAAGTTTAGTTTCCAAACTAAACCAAGTCAACCTTCATTAGCTGGTATGGGTTGGCGTCAAAGACTTATGGCAGCAGGCGGTTATGTAAAGTAAAGAAAAAATATTTTTTTATTTTTATAAAAATGCCCCATATAGAATGGATAGAAAGTCTGCTAGAATAAAAGCAGAGTTACAAAGATATGGTTGGAGAGTTTCGAAGAATTTTAAATATAGGAAGGGAAGACCCATAAAAGTCTATGACAAATTGTCTGGTCTTCGCTACGAAATGGATTTGGAAACAGCACGTGCCAATTATCCAAACAGACTAGAGAGGTTAGAAGAAGAACGTCTTATGGACATGCCTTTCGATGTTAGTGAACCTCAAGTTGAAGGACACGACGGCTTTGCCAGATTCTACTGGAAACATGACGAACAATTGCATCCTTTGAGAAGGAAAAAAGGAAAAGGTGAAGACGCACATGCTCCCATGGAAAGAACAAGATATGCATATGAAAAGTATCGTGAAGTTAGAAGTCAAATTACATCTGGTCGAACCTTTACAGTAAACTTTGACGAAGGAAAGAACAAAGAAGGCTTCATGGGAGTACTTGCTGCAATTCAAGACGGAAATAAGAAAGGACACAATCTCAGATTGACCATAACAGATTTGGATGGTCACATTTACTATGCACATGGCAATGAACAAACAGCCGCAAAACTTCTTGACGCTTTCAAGACTACAAAGAGAGAACAAATGGTTGACTCCGACTCAGACATTTTGAATGCAATTGAAGGAATTGCAAGTGTCAAGTTCGAATGGTACCAACCTAACCCTCAAGCAGTCAGACAACATGCTGGATACTTCCCCTTCATAAATAAGTCTGACATTGACTTGACAAGGTATGGAATTTACAATTCAATTGAAACAATTGTCAATGAACCTTGCATTCTTACATGTCTCAGGAACTCTGGTCTTGTTACAGATGAGAAGATGAAGTATCTTGAGTCATGTGTGAAGACAAGGTACATTCTCAGAGGTCAATTGGCAAAAATTGCACCGTTGGCAAATGTCAATATCCGAGTCAACATACCTACAGCTAAAGGTTCTTCACATGACGACTATGTTGTTGACAAAGACTTACCATGGTTGAAGATTGTAATTGTCCACAACCACTTCATGTTGAACGAAAGTCTTACAAACCCATTCTTTGGTAAAAGTAAGTGCAACATTGTCAGAGCTGTCAACATTCTTTTCAAGAAAGGTTTGTTGGAACCAATTCCAGATGACAAGCTGACAGAAACTTTTGTACCAAAAGACGAAACAAACTTTTCATTGTTAGCAAGACCAAAAGTTGTTCCAGACAAAGTTCTAGTACAAAAGAAGTACACGGTTCCACAAGGGGTTGGTATGTTCAGATACCAACCTGAACCAGAAGAACTTCCAATGAGGTTGCAAGAACTTCAAGATGCTATAAACAAACTTCCATTGAGACATCCAATTGACGTCAAATTATATTGGAGAGCATCTGAGTTAGGTCAGAAGGTTTTATATGAAACAGGTTGCTTCGACGATGTTTATGAGATAACAGGAGAAGTTTCTCAGAAGATAAGAGACTCACTTGAATTTCCACAAACTGGACCAATTGGTTGCAACAAGTTCGACTCAGATGAAAAGATATACTATGTCGACCTTAACGCTGCATACATGAGGTTTGTCCAATATATTCCGACTGGAATTCCAAACGAAGATGGTGAGTTCCCGGGAAGGAACTATACAGTTGGAAAAGTCATACAACAACTGTATGATATTAGGAAAGCTTCAAACCCCAAACTTGCAATGACACTCAAATTGCTTATGAATTCGACATGGGGATATTCCATTAAGAAACCTCAAGAGATGAAGAGTAAACATTATGAGAAGGTCGACAACTTTGTTGAAAGGTTTTCTCCTTTTGTTTTGAAGTACGAATTCACTCAAGGTCAAAGTGGCTTAGTAACCACATTAAAACCTATTGTCGAACATTGGTCTTACCCTCAGTTCGCAAAGGCAGTCCTTGACAACTACAATGAGTTCTTCTCCGAAGTCAAATCCAAAGTCAAGGTTTACTATGAGAACATTGACGCACTCATGACGAACGAAGAAGGCTATAACAAACTCATTGAAATGGGAATGGTCGGTGAAAAGATGGGTCAATTCAAATTGGACAAAATTTTCACCGAAGTTCATGTCCTCTCCAAGCGTAAGTACTGGGGTGTTAAAGAAGATGGTGAAATAGTTAAACATTGCATGAAATAAAAAATTTTTATTCGAATTTGAATTTAAATGTGGGAATTCTTGGGAACGGGAAAGGCTTATTTACTTGAGGAACAGGTAAAGGTGGTGGAGGTGGTGGCAACCAGTCCATTTTATATTCCTTCCTAGCTAATTTCCGTTTAATTTCATGGTCGCCCTCGGAGTCTTTGAATCGGACAGGTCGAGTTACACCATTCTTGGTCTCAAACTCATATATAACCTGTTTGTCTGTATTTTCGTCGACTATGGCACGAGACACGAACATTGACCAAACGGACAAAAAGTGTCATTTCGGATGGTCAAGCAGCCAATCGCATTCGAGCACTTCGAAGAAGCCTTACGTTCCAAGGGAGAGGGTGTCTGGTGCAAGGCAGAGGTCATGAGACTCTACGAGCAGTACATCCTCAATGCCTGGGAGGACAAATCGTCCTTGAATTGGCAATTCTACCAACTCCTCTGGGACGACCTCCTACGCAACTGGGAAGATAACGAAAGAGCCCAATTCAAAGGTCGGGAGCTAATTTTCCAAATTACCATTAATAGTGCCTACTTATCCAACTAAACACTTAAATTTACTTGGGGTTTCCCCCTAAAATATTTTTTTACTCTTAGAACCACTCGAGGTTCTCCTTACGGTTGTTGAGCTTGTCACCGTCAATGTGTCTGACCTTCGTCTTCTTGCCTGGATTTGGAACCCATTGAATTGCGACAAGCTTGCCCATGGAGTGTTGTGCATGAAAAATAGCGTGACTTCACTTTTGACAAAAAGTGACACTATTTCTGATGGTTTTGTCATTTATTTGTCAGATTTATAAATGGATAATAATGCTGTAAATCAGATATTAATTAAAAATATTTAAGATTTATGTTCGAATTGAAAAGCAAAATGATATTTTTTTAATTGAAAAACGTTAATATCTGATATTTTGAAGTTTTTAATATTTGTTAGTATCTTAAATTATTGAATGCATACATTTTTTATGTTCTCAATTTTAAAAAATTGTGAAGAATTTAGTTTTTTGGAGATGGATGTTTAATATTTGTGAGTGAGAATGCAAGCAGGAGTTTGGTACTTTAAGGCTAGGTTGAGATAGATTTCCCATTATATTATCTGTGAATATTTTGCTTGAAAATTCAAGATATAAAAATATATTATCAAAAAATTTTATATTTTTAAATACAATAGGGTGGAAATATAGTACGATGAGATAGCAATGATATATTTTATAATGGGAGGTAATCTGAAGATAAGTAGCAAATTTTATGCGATTTTGATTGGGAGTTGGAGGGTGTGAGTACTATAGCATGTAATAGTATCTCACACCCTCCAATTCTTCCTATGGCGCCGAAAAATTTTTGGTGAAATGCGACGACATTTCACCAAAAAATTTTCGGCGCCATATAGAGAACTATAGTCTGCGAGGTACTGATTCTATCTATGTACCTCGCAGACCATAGTTCTCAGCCAAAATGTCAAAAATTTCGGAAATTCGAAATAATTTTTTTTGAGAAAAAATTAACCGTTTAACATAATATTTATAATATTGCTTATTCAATTAGACGGATTAAAAATTATATGTTTTCTTTTTATTTTTTCAATTCAATTATTAGCTGACTCGAATTTGTATAAGTTTTTTAAAATAGATATCAAAAATTAAATATAAAAAAGAAAACAATTAAGAATATTAAAGTAAATTCTTTATTAAGAAACAATAAAATGAAAATATAAAACTTTGTATGATTTGAGTGGATATTGAGAGTAATTTGTGAGTGTGCTTCAGCTGCATATGTAAGATTGTTCGGATTTAATTAAAAATTGTAAATTTTTTGTCTTTATATCAAACTATTCGACAAAACTTTGTATGATTTGAGTGGATATTGAGAGTAATTTGTGAGTGTGCTTCGGCTGCATCCGCTAATTCCTTCTTCATTCTTAACATTCTTTGTTTTATTTAGAACTATATTATCTTATTTCTAAAAATAATACTGAATTTTTTAAAAAATCCAAATGTAATAAATGTAAGTGTTTATTCCTTAACTTCCTTTTTGTGATTTTTTGAATTTTCTTGTTTTTGAAATTATTTGTTAATCTCTAAGATTTTTTTCGAAGCCTGGTTCAGCGCAGAGATCTTTTGTCCATTTGGGGCCTCTTTCCCAGGCCTCAAATGGAGTCAATTTCTCCCCAAAGAGTTTGAATAATGCGGAGTGTTTCCATACCCTATTATACTGGGAAACAACATTGGGGATGAACTCAAAGACGTTCACTCCAGGGTTTGTCTTGAAAAGAGTCTCCCAACTCCTTTCAATTTTTCCATTTTCCTCTGGAGAGTACGGATGAGTTTTGAAATGTTTTATATTGAATTCTTGGCAAACCGCTTCAAAATCTTTTCCAATGAATTCTGTTCCATTATCTGTGAGAATTCCATGTGGAACTAATTTGACTAAATCAATTGCGTGACGAAATACTCTGGCAGTATTTTTCATTTCTTTTGTATCGAAAACATCCCAGCAAATAATGTATCTGCTTCTGTCATCAAGAAATGAAATTAAATATTGAAGGTTACCGTTATCGTCCTTCAGAAATTTCAAATCAGTATGCCACAATTGATTAACATATTGAGCAACGTATTCATGTGGATGTTCGTCGATTTTCTGATGCCTGTGAAATGTAAACAAATGTTGTTGATTGAAAATTTTGAAAGCATCGTTGAATGTAAATCTTTCGACTTTTTCGAAATATGATTCTTTGATCCTTTTGTATCCAATGTCATATTGTGCTTTAATTTCCAAAATTTTGTATACATCTTCCTCAAAAATTTTTTTCTTTGGTCTTCCTCTTTCTTTTATTGGATAGCCGAGTAGTACGAAAATTTTTTTCAAACGTTCTTTTCCTATTGAAAGTGTTTTTGCCGTATCTTCGAGAGTTACATTTGGATTATTAATGTATTCTTGATATTTTTCTTCAATTACGTTGAGAACCTGATCGGCGGGAACGGTTGGGAGTTGAAAAGTTTTAAGATCTTCTGGGTTTTCGAGACGAACCAAGATGTCTTCCATTTTTTAATTTGTAAATTTTTCAATTTTTCAAAAGATAATTTAAAAATACTAGTTATTTGATAAAATTTGTTTATTTTAAATAAAACAATTTTTTTTGAAAAAATTATATTAATGATTTGAAGGCAAAAGCCAAAAACTTAATAGATAAAATGCTCTTTCTATATAGATCAACTTCTATTATTAAATTTATAAAAATGGAGAGATTTTGCAAATTATTTTCTAATATATTATATTTATAATCATTTTATTTATCCCATTAATAATTGTGAACCCAGAACATCTTCCCTTCAAAGTGCCAAGCATCAACACACATTCTCACTCACAAATTTTTAAAACTCATTGCCAAAAATTTAAAAAACTCACAATTTTTTTTAAATTGATAACCCTCAAACCGTTTCCAATCAATAATTTGAGAGTCTATATGATAATGTAAAAGTTAAAACATTCAAGTATTTAAGTATTTCTTTAAAATATTAAGTTTTTTATTTTTCCAATAAAATTCTAATATCAAATATTTTTATTTAACGATTAATTTTATTTATATTTTTATAGTTTTTTTAAGAAAAAATATTGTTAGGGTTTTATGGATTTTCAATTAATATACAAGATAATTCATGAATGTATATATTTCCAAGTTTTTAAGGATGCAACACTTTACATTTGTAAACTGTCAAAAATGAAGTCACGCTATTTTTCATGCATTACAGCTTTGGAGACAACAGATGGAAAAGTTTACTTCACTGACCAACAGTTCATTATAGAACATCTCATTGACTTAGAGTCGAAATATTCTAAACTTTACAACAAACACAAAAAGTTGAAAGGAAAACAAAAACAAATGGCATATGATATTTATGAAGATGTTGACGACACAACTGTTCCTGCAAGTGAAGTAAAGTCAGAGGAACCGAAAAGTGACGAAAAACCGATAGAAGAAGAGAAACCAAAAACTGAAGATAAACCAAAACCAAAGTTTAGTTTCCAAACTAAACCAAGTCAACCTTCATTAGCTGGTATGGGTTGGCGTCAAAGACTTATGGCAGCAGGCGGTTATGTAAAGTAAAGAAAAAATATTTTTTTATTTTTATAAAAATGCCCCATATAGAATGGATAGAAAGTCTGCTAGAATAAAAGCAGAGTTACAAAGATATGGTTGGAGAGTTTCGAAGAATTTTAAATATAGGAAGGGAAGACCCATAAAAGT